CTTTTAAATTTATGTAACAGCATTTAAAAAATAAATACAATGCAGTAGTCATTATATATAATAAGAATGATAAATAACAACAATAAAAGGTGTATAGTTAAAAAATGAAGTGAAGCTATTTATCATAAACATCATTTAAACTTTTGATTATTGATTTTTTTTGAAAATGCAATCCTTAGAAGAAAGTATCAACCTTGGCAAAATGAAATAACACATGGAACTAAGACAAGCAAGAAATACATATACTTAATAAAATATATTTATATACTCCTTATTTTATTAAATATATGTATTTCTAATGTTACTTATCTTATATATATATTTTTTTTGAGAGAGAGAGAGAGAGAGAATTTTTTTAATATATATTTTTTTAGTTCTTGGGGGACACTGCATCTTTGTTTGTATGTGGTGCTGAGGATCAAACCCGGGCCGTACCCATGCAAGGCGAGCGCGCTACCGCTTGAGCCACATCCCCAGCCCACTTATCTTATATTTTAAAAATCAGAAATATATATATATATATATATATATATATATATATACACACACATATATGTATATAAATGCATATAATGCATATGTATCCTTTAAGAAATGGTACCATAATACATATATACATGTATACATACATATACATACATGTATATGTAGCTTCACTTTTATTATCTTTTAAGGAGATAATTTGTAAATACATGTTAAAATAATAAGGCTGGCCAGGTGTTGGCACATGTCTGTAATTCCAGAGATTTGAGTGGCTGAGGCAGGAAAATTGCAAGTTCAGAGGCAATGCCAACAACTTAGGGAGGCCCTGAGCAACTAATTGAGACCTTGTCTCAAAATAAAATATAAAAAAGGGCTGGGGGTGTAGCTCAGTGATTAAGTGTCCCTGGATTTAATCCCTAGTACCAAAACAAAACAAACAAACAAACAAAAAAACCACCTTTAAGATTGCACACTGACAAGCACATTTGCTAATTTAGGAGGATATTCCATGGCAATTGTGTGCTGTGCCAGGACAATAGAACTGGATATTTCCCACAGTCCACTGCATGAATTCATTATAGATTGACACATTGCTTCCCCAGCCTGAAAATTCTGGGTTGCTAACCACTAGCTCGGGATGGTGTCCTCACGTGGTGAGACAGGTTCAGAAAGCCCTCCTGGAAAGGGGCAATGAAGGTGGGCTGCATGCTGCCTGCTCCCCTGGGCCTTTGCTTGCAATGCAGAAGGCACTCTGTGCCACTGCTTCTTCCAGGAGCACACCCTGTAACCAAAATTCCCTAAATGTTATGGACCACAGCACACAAAATAAATATCATTTTTTATACATTTTCTATCTGTTGGCTTTTCACTGAACATCTGATACAAGAGTATTTGGCACTGAGTCTGTGTATGTTTCAGCCTTCCTATTGACAAAATAATTATAGTTATGTGATTTGCCTCAAAGTAACTACTGCATAATGGTGTGCTCTATTTAATATTGCTTTGATATTCCACAGTCCAGGTGAATATGTGAGAAAACATCCCTCCATAAAAGGTACAAAACAAAGAAAAATCGCATGAGAAAAGCAATACTTGTATTTTTTTCTCAGAATATTGTTTTTACTCTTGCTTGAAATATCCCATAAGTATATAGGCAACACTAGTTGTTACTCATAGGGAAGTTATTGTAAAATGTTATTTTTTGAATGGAAACCACACAGCTGTTCAAAATTCAACAAACATACATCTGGCATGAGGGTAGATTCCAAACACCTCTGTAATATTACTGCAGCAGCAGAATGAGTTCTGTTTTTCAACCATGACAAGTGGTATGAGTGGATCATCTGTTCAGTGCTTATACAGCATATACTCAAAAGAATGAAATAATGGCCAACAAGACTGCCTTCCCAATATTTCTTCCACCACAACTGCCATGTGTAAAATTCTGGGCTCAACTGCAGGTGAAGCAGAAGGAAATTTTGTTGGTTGGGAACACCTTCAGTCAGCTGCCAATTGATCTGGAAGTTGACAGTACACCCATAGTTGCTCCAACAGAGATCAGCTAATGCTGACCTACATCAGCACAGCAGCCCCACTGACCTGAACCCAAATAGCAACTGTCTGAAACAAGAGTTTGGGCTAGTTCTCCATGCAGCAGAAACTAGGTCACTACTCCTGTAGCATCACCTGTCCCTGATGCACTCCTTAATTGCACCATCCTCTCCTTGAGAATGTAATCTCTATGAAGGCAAGGACTTTTGACAGCTTTATTTTGTCACTGTGTTCCAAACTCCTACAGGATTCCATAGCTATTAGGTGCCCAATAAATATCTGTGAATTAAACAAATGAATTTATTTTATAGAATTATTCTGAAGGTTAAATAAAATGACATATACACAAATTTCATAGACTATTTAATAGACTCTAGGAACAGATTTTTGTTGTTGGCATCATTATCTTCCTAAAAGATAAACAATGACCAAGTAACAAAAAGGTATTTGGAAAATAATTATCGTCTACAAAAAGAGATGAGGATTTTAAGTACTTGTGAAAAATATGCACTAGACCAGCAAATGAATGCAGTGATTAAAAATAAACACTTCTTAATAAATAAGGCTTGATTTCTATAATGAGCTACTTGCATGTCTTCAATTTCTTAACTGGTCTTAAAAATGGATGAGGAATTCAAATATTTTTCCATGCTTTGTTTGTTTATTCAAAACATACTCTGTACCTTTTCCAAGAAAAATATTTTCTTAATTTTACTATTTTTTTGTCATTCACACAGATAATCATTGTAATCATCAGTATGACAAACATGCTTTGATCTACATAAAATCATCTAAAACTATAATCTAGCAACCACAACCAATTCATTTTATGGTCAAATGCATGGTTAAATCTTGTATAATTAATTGACTTGCAACTGTTGTGAGCTGCCTTTGCAAACTAAAAAATATTTGTCTTGTTTCTCAGAAAATGCCAAGGATGAGATGGGTAATTTGGATAGCAATTTTCTTCTCAAAACATATTTAATAATTGTTGGCAGAATTGTCTTCAAAATATTGTCTTCTGAGTTACTTTCCAAAATTAATATTAGGCAGACTGTATTTACCTAAATCCTCATATATCATTTTGAAGTTCAATAACAAATATCAGATGGGTATTTTAAATGTTCCACAATGCATTTAATAAATTTTAAAAATTTAAATATTGTGCTATGGATATATATATAGGCATCAGTTATACCCAAAATAAAGATGTAGACTTGCTTTTTACTTCCAAAGTTGAATGATTTTTTCCTACATAGAATGTATGAGACTAAACAAAAATTTAGTAATTGTTTTCTCTTCATTTCAAATCTATTATGCTTATTATAGATCTAATACATGATTATTTACCAGATTACTTAACTACACATATATTACATATGATATTCACTATAATCCTAATACTCCTTTAAAATTTTGTCAAATAAGCTTCTATTATCATCAAAATAGTTAAGAGTCAGCCTACAGAGACCCCGTATATATTGACTTGTCTTCATGTATTTCCTATACTTCTTTGACTCAGTTTTTCCACCCATGAATGATATTATCTGATGCCTAAATTTCATTATAAAAATGAATAGGAGCCAAGTGTTCTGGGCTACACCTGTAATCTCAGCAGCTGGGGAGGCTGAGACAGGAGGATCACAAGTTCAAAGCCAACCTCAACAATGGTGAGGCACTGAACAACTCAGTGACACTCTGTCTCTAAATAAAATACAAAATAGGGCTGGGGATGTGGCATTCAGGTCACAGTGAACATTTCTTATGTGGGGGAACAGTAATAAGCACAGAGGATAATACTGCAAATTAAAAGGCAATGTCCACACTTTATTATGGTATGTATCCTTCAAGGCAAATAAGAAAAAAGGGAAGAAAACCTAATGAGTATAGAAGATAACATTATATTATTATAAGAATTATGATTAAAGCAAACTCTGGTAATACTACAGAGGCTTTGGGGAAATAACTCTGTTACTTTGAATAGGATGATCCCAGAAAACACTATGAGGAAGTGACCATTTTATTGAGATTGGAAAGTATTAAAAAATTGCAGAGACACAGAATAGCCAAAACAAAATGACTTGAGGCAGGAGGAATTTGAGTATTGAGGCCAATGCAGGTAAGTGACATGATTAAGTAAAAAAGTTGGGTAAGATGGAATCAAGGGGAACAGAATCCACCTTGACTGGCCATTTGTCTTGTTCCAAGCATTGGAGCTTAGAGTCAGTTGAGTCTTAGATTAAGGCAAGATCACAGGCACAGTCTGCATGTAACAAAGTCATAATGCAAATGTTCATTTTGAGGTCTGCATTATGACTTTGTTACATGCAGACTGTGCCTGTGATCTTGCCTTAATCTAAGACTTTGCTTCTCTAAGTGAAAATGGACATATTTCATGGAATTGTGGTGAGATTAAATGAAGTTATGCAAGTGATGATCTTAAAACATGACTAGCCATATTTAGCACTAAATGAATACTGATGTTATAAATTCATTGTTGTTATTTTCCTGCTAATAATTTACCTCTTTTCCTTATCTCCATATGATTAATATTTTTTTTTTAAAAAAAGATACTTTTAACCAAATCTCAAAGGAGAAGGAAAGAAATCTCAGAGGAGAGAAAGGCAGAAGGAAAGGGGAGAAAATGTGTATTGAGCACTAAAGACCTGATATTTGGACTTCTTACACATGAGGCTCAGTTATCCTCCAAGAACTCTGTGAAATGGGTATCTCCTGCATCTGCATTTTGCAGAACATGAAACTGAAGGTCAAAGATTAAGTTCACAACCAAGTTCCAAAAGAATCAATCCAGTGGTAGAGCTAGAGTATAAACCAGAGGTGCTGGAAAAAGGAAAAGAAAACAAAAAGAAGGGAGAGAGGCAGGTAAAAGAAACCAGGGGAAGGCATGAATAACTCCTCTCTCTTTACTTGCTTTTAGTAACTTGCTTTTATCTCTCTTTAGAGGTCACAAGCTGAGCCATGTACTGCGGTTAGCTTTGCTCTTCGGAACACCTCTGAAGTACAGGTCACCATGGTAACTGTTGCCTAAGTCGTTTCTCAGGAACTTGGAGGTTCACTTTTTTACTGTCTCCAACCAAGTAAAACCAAGGACCCTTTCCTCAGCCTGCACAGGTACCAGAGGGCTGTAAAACCCCAACCTCAGACCACTCTCATGTGTCATTTTATGGACTTTAGAAAGTGCCATGAAGTCAAATTATGAGTGAAAACTCTGATTATAGCACTTCCCCTGCTCTGATCACTTTTCCCCAGGCCTCCCACCACCTGTTTCTTTATCCCACAAACACCCTTAGTTTGAGGCTCCAGGAAGTGGATTGAGATTTGGGACTTCCACCTCTTCATGATCAATACCTCGTGAACAAATTCTCCTTTTTAGTACTAACTCCTTATATCCAGTTATTGAGATACCACACAGTAGGCAAAATGCATTTAGTTGGGTGATGGGGACAATACGATGGAGAATAAGTGACTTAATTATGTTGAAGGGAAGAGAACGTTCTGAGCAAATAAGGAATAAAGTAGAAACTTACACCAAAATCTGTCAGAGGGATAATTTTAACATATTTACAAAGAATACCCAGAATTACAGACCAAGAAAAGACTGTTTTCTCTCTTGTTTTAGTTGCTAAGGAATTTAATTCACTTTGGTAGCTAGCTTTTTATGTTCTGACTTAAGAGGAAGCTAGTTTCTGCAATCCTCAAGCACTTAAATATATCACTGCCTTTAAAATATTGTGATGGATCACTGCATTTCCTCACAACAACAATACCAGACCTATCTTGTCTACAGTACATTCTTATGACATTTTGGATTAATTTCCTGATAATTGTTGTTTTAGTATTCCTTAAAAACATAATGATTGAATCTAAAATAAATGTGATCTTCTATAGAAAAATCTAAAGAACAAAATGGGAAACTTTCAAAAGGCAGAAGGAAAAGAATGTTCCAGAATGTTTTCTTATAATTTTTCATTTTTTCAAATATTCAAAATTTGACATTTTGATTCTTTTTCAGAATCTTCTAATTTAGAAACACAGACTTCAACAAGCCATAGGAAGGACTGCTACCTGAGACAGAGCTGTCAATCATGCTAAAGCACATAACACACTGAAAACTTCATGAGACTCAAAGTATCATCTTTCTGTTTGCCAGATTCTGAAAACTGGAAATTCAACAAATTTTCCAGAGACACAAGACAAAGCAGAGTCTTTCACCTATCCTTTGGAACCTGTCATAAAATCAAACCATTACCCCAAACCCAACAATGTATAATTACCATCTTGGAATTTGATAAAATCAATTGTATAACCTAGACAAGAGATTTAACCAATGATAAATTTGATTCTTTTTTCTAAATGAAAACTGATGGAAATAATCTTTTTAAAAAAATAAGTTTGTTCATTTTGGCCACTTTTCCAAATGATAAACCAAAATGGGGTGTCCTTGGTGATCAGAAATTGAGAAGTCAGGGAAAGATGAGTGACATGTAGGATTGATTGAAATGGAAAATCATACTATAGGGACAGATTTTTGCAAAAGGAGAGAGCTGGCCATTAACATTCATACCCTGAAGTTGCATGGTATGAAGTGAAAAAGGTGGGGGATATTGATGCTGAAGGCATTTCAGTGATTACCTCCAGAAAGAGAAAAAGATTGGAGACAAGAAAGTCACAAATATAATGTCATTATATTGATATACATATATAATAACTTTTGCATTATATAAATAAAGACATGTACTTTGTAAATTCAAAACTAAGTCAATAAGAAAAATCTACCTCTGGGAATATTTATGCTTGGGTTTAATCATGTTATATATTCTAAGACAGATATTCTTCATTTCTGACTTATGTTTATATTATATTTGAGCACAGTCATTTCCCCCCACTTTATCACACTGAAACTATAACTTACTAAATTACTCAGCACTATAGTTGCAGAAGGAAATCTGACTCAACAAATATTTCCTGTTTAAATTGTTCAGCATTCCTACCATGTTATTCTAAAAACACATGCACATGAAAAGACATTTAATTATGCCAGATACTTCCATAAAACTTTCTTTGATGCAAACTTATAAAAGACCTATTTGAACAGTTTGTCACCAGAATTCCATTTGGAAGATGTAGTTAGCAATGCAAATTATATAAAAATGAATGACTCACACATATAGCCAGATAAGTTCTCTACAATCCAGATGAGCTGTATGCAAAACCTAATAGTAGAACTCTGGGTAAGTCAACAGGAAGTAGGTAATTGGATTTTATTTTTTAGAGGAGCAAGTTGGGGAAAAAATGATTGGCAAAGCAACCTTTATTAAAAATGAGCAGGTTTCATAGTAAATGATGAAGTCAATACAAATACTCTGATCTGAAGACAACTTCTTTATTCCCAAACACCTTGAACCAAGAATATGTACTGATTTTTTAAATCAGCTGAGTCATTCCCACTTCCAGTCAGCATTGCATGAAAGGGGACAGAATTAAATAACAACAAAACAGCCAAAATACATTAAATTTTTTTTTTAATGATACAGAATGTCAGGTAATAAAGAATTGTGATCCTTGGGCAAAACTAAACAACTGAGGTGAATCTTATGCACACTCCAATTTATTGTCTTGAGAGACTGCATAGTGCAGGAAGAACTCAGGAAGAACCCAGGGATTCCCTGTATTGAATCTGGAAAGACTCAGGCAGAAGGTACAGAAAGTACTAGAAAAGGGACAGCTTTGGAGAGAAAGAATTCTCGATATCTGTACAAGGTCCCATGGAGTGCTCTCCAGGACCCTGGAAGCAGCCTCAGCAATGTACCAAGATCCTGTGGCAAAACAAAAAGTAAAGGAGACTGGGGGTCTAGCTCAGGTAGAGCAACTCCCCCAGGGTTCAATCCCGAGTACTACAAATGAATAAAAGGCCTGAAAGTTCCCAGCAAAGTCTCCTCTGCCTCTACAGAGACTTCTTTATGGGGAGATAAGGAGCTTAATTAATCCCAAGTACAAGAAATACTAAGAAAATTATAGTAAGGGACATGATAATTAAATTGCTCAAATTTGTGATAAAGAGAAAATCTTAGAAGAATAAATAGAAAAAGAAAAATATTATGAATGGGAACAACCACACAAAAGGAAGCATTAAAAAATGGACACATTTCTTTAAAGACACAAACTCCAAAATATCACCTAAGAGGGAGTAGATAACCCCGACAACACTATATGTATTGAAGAATTCAAACTAGTAGCCAAAATTCTTCTCACAAAGAAACTTCAAGCTCAGATTGCTTCACTGATGAATTCTACCAAACATTCAAGGAATAAATAGTAGCAAGTCTACCCAAATTGTCCTGGAAAATTGAAAAAAGTGGGAATATACCCATTTCATTTTATGAAACCCTTGACCAAAACCACAGAAAATCAAGAGAAAAGGAAAACCACAGCTAAATATCTTCTAACATATGTATTGAATTGGAAATAAAGTTTTACTGAAAATAATCTAATAATATCACAAAGAGTAAAATAGCATAGTCAAGGTAGGGCATGATTCCAGGAAGGTAAAAAATTTACCACTGAAAAATTAATTGACATAATTTACCATAAAAGCAAAGCAAAGGGGGAAAATCATATGAGCATCTTGGTAGATGCAGGAAAAAACATTTTAGGAAATCTAACATACCTTCCTAAAAATAACTAAATGAAAAGTAAAAGTTTCTCCGCCTGATAAAAGACATCTGCAGAAAGCCTACAGCTATATCATACTAAATGATGAAAGCCTGGATGCTTTCCTCTGGATCATAAACAAGACAGATGAGTCTGATCATGTCACCACTATTCAAAGTTGCCCTGGAAGTTCTGGCCAAGTAGATTAGAAGGGAAGAACAATATGATCATTTAGTGGACAGTTCAATGAAATCTATAAGATTTAACTTATAACTAATATACAAGGAAGCAAAATTGTGGGATTTAAAATCAATGCACAAAACTTAAATCCATTTCTATATACAAAACAACACATAGGAATTGAAATAAAAGAAACAATTGCATGAAATATGAAATATTTAGGGATGAGTTTGAAAAAAGAGGTAAACGATTTTTACTTTAAAAACCAAAAAGAAAGCTAAAAAACATTCAAAAATTAAACAGAAGGATATACTATTTTCAGGAGTAAGATAAATACTTTTTACAAAGAATTAATTATTTTCCAAGATAATCTTAAACATTAAATGCAATATTAAACAAAATCTCTAATTCTTCATAGAAACTGTTAAATTAATTCTAAAAATCATATGGACATGGAAAGAATCTAGATTCAACACAACTTCAAACAGGAGAATAAATGTGGAAGACCAAGACAACCTGATTTTAAAAATATCCATAAAGTTATAGTAATCAAGATAGTGCAGGATTGGCATTAAAAAAAAGTCAAAATTTACCAATGGAAAAGAAAAGAAAAAGTCCAAAAAGAGACACACCTATGTAGGCAAATGGTTTTCAATATGGGGCAAGAGACAGTTCAGTAAAGAAAAATCAGTCCTTTTGGCAAATGATATAGGAACAATTGGATATCCATTAAAAAATACAATAAAAAGAATCCAATCCAATCCATACCTCTCACCATATACAAACACTAATTCACCATTAATCATAATCTTAAGTGTACTATTTAAACTAAAAAACAAATTATTTTAAAAAGATGATAAAATCTTTGAGTTAGACAAATATACAACACTAAAATTATAACCCATAAAAGAACAAATTGATAACTATTCTTCATAAGATTAAGCATTTGTGTTCTTTGGAAAATATTGTGATAAGAATGAAAAGATAAGAGAGATTTAGATAAAATACTTGCAAATTATATATCTGAAAGATAATTTGTATTCAGACTATATATACAAGTAAAACTTTTAGAATTTCAAAATAGGAAACCAATTTTCCTCCCCAAGTTGGCTAATTTGGACAGGCACTTGGCTGCAGAAGGAATCTGGATGGCAAATAAGCACTAGAAAAAATGCTTTCCATCATTAGTCATTAGAGAAATGCAAATAAAAGCCACACTGATGTTCTAGTACCCACGTAATAGAATGACTAAAATTAAAAAATTCCAGGCATAACAAATTTTGGCAAGGAATCAGAGTCACCGAAAATTTCATATACTACTGGTTTGAACGCAAAATCATATAACCACTTTGTAAAACATTTTGGCAGTTTCTTAAAAGGCTAAACATATATCGACCATATAATCCAGCTGAACAACTGCTTGATACTGATCTATAAGAAATGAAAACATGCGGCTGGGGTTGTGGCTCAGTGGTAGAGTGCTTGCCTAGTATGTGTGAGGCACTGGGTTTGATTCTCAGCACTTCATGTAAATAAATAAATAAAAGGTCCATCAACAGCTAAAACATTATTTAAAAAAAAGAAATGAAAACATAATGTCTATCCACGAGAATTTATACAAGAGTTCAAAGAGTTCATAGCAGGTTATTAAATGATAATCCATAAACTGGAATTAAGTTTTTTCCATCAACAGGCAAATGCCACTGTAATCAACACCACAAAATTCCAGTCATTTATGAACAACAAACCCTTACTTATTGATTACACAATATCCATTGGGTAGTTTTGGATCTTCACTCTGGACTGACTGAAAGACCTAGGAGATTACATGGCAGAACCCTTTACTGACTCTTAACTGGTTTTCTTAGAAATAGATTACTTTGTTACCTTTATAATTCATTGTTCAAAGCAAGACACACAGCAGTGGGGTATGGGAAATTATCTTTTTAAGGGGAGGGTTTGGTATGGAAGGATTGGTGGGAGCTGCAGCAAATGTTTTGACAATAATAAAACCTCCCACAGTACTAGAGTCTTCTCTGGCTAAGGATATATTTATGTTGTATTCTACCTGCATTTTTTTCTGTCTTGCACCAAGAAATAATTGGATTACAACAAGGATGCCCTCAGATACCAGCACAGAGGGAAAGTTCTTAAATTAAGGAGTTAGAGACCTAATTCAATAGAACCCTTGGAGCCTGGAACTTCCTAGAGAATCTTAAATTTTATAAAGGCTACAGCTCCCCATTAGACTAAGATATAGACATTTCTAGGGTGAACATGGTCAAGTTTTAAAGCTCTTTTTCAAACTAATACCTTCAAAATGTAAGAGCTTTACAAAATCATCTACTATGGTCAGCAGCATGGCATCTGTACTCTGGCCAACCTTGTAGAGTGGCAAAGCTTGGCCAGAGTACCCTGCCAAGTCCTGTGCTACCTCCAGGGATTGGGCCTAACTCAGTTTTGGAGGCCGTTATGATTTATCTCCTGCTTAACCCAAACCAGAACTTGCTACAATGTAAGCAT